GCGCGTGGGTGCCAGCCTGCTGGTTGACTGGTTCAGGTTGTGACAAGTACGGGTGTGGGCTGGGTGTGTGCCCAGACCAGGAATGGGTGAGGGGTGTGTGAGATCCAGTGTTTCTGCCCACCCGTGGGAGGGCCACTAGCCCAGTTTCAGGTCACCCCAGTTTCAGGTCCTGGAGTCCGCCAGACCAGGCTGCTGGATGGGAGAAGGGGTGGGGAACCATTGTTGCACTTGGCCCTGATCTGTGACCCCACGTGTCCCCCCCCACCCCTCAGGTACCCCCAGCCCTGCCGCAGGAAGGGAATGGGCTCAGTGCCCGCGTGGATGAGGGCGTGGAAGAGTTCTTTTCCAAAAGGCTGGTCCATCAGGATCGCCTGTGAGTGAGCGGCAGCCACAGGGGGGTGGGCAACCCTGAGGACTGTTCCACTCACTTTAGACTCTCCCTGCAGCTGGACCCCCGAGGAAGAGCCAGCCGTGGAGGGAGGCCCCACCCCTGTCCCCCGCACACTGCGCAAGAAGCTGGGTACTCTCTTTGCCTTCAAGAAGCCTCGCTCAGCGCGAGGGCCACGGGCTGACCTAGAGACCAGTCCTGGGGCAGCTCCTCGCAGCCGGAAGGCCACCCTTGGGGACCTGTTGCGGCCACCAGCTCGCCCAGGCTGTGGTGAGGAGCCTGGTGGGGCCGAGGGGCTCACCAGCAGCCCTGACCCTGCACGCAGGAGCCGGCCCCGCTACACTCGGGACAGCAAGGCTTATTCCATGATACTGCTGCCTGCCCAGGAGGAGGAGGCTGCGCTGGGTGTCAGACCTGACAAGGTGAGGCCTGGTGCCAGGGTGAGGTCTCTTCTGGAACAGAGGGCAGTGGGCCCCCTCCCTACTGGGCATCTCTGTCCCTAGCGGCGGCCCCTGGAGCGGGGAGAGACAGAGCTGGCCCCATCCTTCGAGCAGCGTGTGCAAGTGATGTTGCAGAGGATTGGTGTGAGCCGGGGCAGCGGGGCTGCTGAGGGCAAGAGGAAGCAAGTGAGTTGAGGGAGCTTGACTGTGAAGGGCAGGGGACATGGCTTGCTGGTGCCCTGTGGATGGCGTACACAACTGGCAAAGGGAACTTATGTGGCACATAGGTACTCCTGTTCCCAGCCCACTGACACTGCCCTCTTGGCAGTCCTCTTTGCAGGTCAGATCTGACCTTGCTGCCTACAATTGGGACAAGTTTTCCAGAGTTTTCTTCCAAGCTTGTCCAGAACCTTAACCATGTTTCAAAGACTCGTGGTCTTGGCTCTGATCACCTTCTTGTGCTCGCTATTGGGCAGTTGTGGCTGCTCCCTGTCTCCCCTCTGCCCTCCCAATACCTTGGTAGCCCTTCCCGACTCCCCTCTGTGGTCACCTTCTTAATGCCGCGCTCAGGTAATAAGAACCACAGCTCTGGGTGCTGGGATCCATTTAATGATAGTTCAGGAAGACAACACATTTATGAAGGGAGGCGGCCTGGATGTAGCAGCATGCGCAGGAAAAGCGCATCACAGAATGAGAGCCCACAATCTGTGTTCTTCAATGTGGGTGTGAACTGCCCACCCCACCCCCACTGTGAGCTCTTCAGAACTGGGCACAGCCCAGGGTGGGCACTCTGGGGCGGGTCTGGAGAACAGGAAGGAACAGAGGGTGGGGCGGGCAGAGCTGGAGTGTGACTGCCCGTTTCCCTTAGAGCAAAGACGGGGAGATCAAGAAGGCTGGCTCAGATGGTAAGTGGGACACTGGGCCAGGGTGTATCCCTCGAGATCGTCCCCAAGGCACTTGCCCCACCCCACCCCACCTGAGGTTTGGTGCCTGAGCCCCAAGCCCCACTTTGCAGGTGACATTATGGACAGTTCCACGGAGACCCCACCCATCTCCATCAAGTCTCGAACCCACTCAGTATCTGCCGGTGAGTGTGGGCAGGCAGGGGAGGGGTCGAGCAGTGGTCATGACTGGCTCCAACACCTGGCCCTGGATGACACTCCTCTCCCTGCAGATCCCTCATGCAGACCTAGCCAAGGGGGCCAGGGGCCTGAGCCTGCCACCTGGAAGACTCTGGGGCAGCAGCTGAATGCAGAGCTGAGGGGTCGGGGTTGGGGCCAACAAGATGGCCCAGGACCCCCCTCCCCGTGTCCCAGTCCAAGCCCCCGAAGAGCCAGCCCCTGCCCGGACAGCCTGGGCCTCCCAGAGGACTCCTGCTTGGGCCCCAGGAGTGAAGGTAGGCAGGTCCCCTCCTCCCCTTCCAAGAGTCCCTGGTGGAAACTCAGCTCCTCTGGAGACCCTGAAGGTGTGGACAAGGACTAGAGTGGGGGCAGACATGGGGGCCATCCCTTGACACCCTGGCCTCCCCCAGATGGCCATCTGAGGCCGCGGCCTCTCTCGGCGGGGCGACGAGCAGTGTCTGTGCATGAGGACCAGCTCCAGGCCCCTGCTGGTGAGAGGAGACACCTCCGGGGGGCCTGAGTCTGGGGGGAGGGAGGGAATGGAAGCCGAGGAATCTGGAGACAGAGGGCTGGGGTCAAGGGTTTGATAGGAGCACTTCCTCCTGGCCCTGACCCCACTTTCATCAGAGCCTCTGCCAGGGAAGGAGGGCCCAGGGTGGGCAGTCCTGAAATTCTCAGGTTTATGTGCATGCTCACGAGAGCGAGCTTGGGGCTGGGCAGACAAGCCCTTAACAACTACCAGCCTCTCTCTGCCCCTCAGAGCGGCCCCTGCGGCTGCAGCGTTCCCCTGTCCTCAAGCGCAGGCCAAGGCTCGAGGCACCCCCATCGCCAAGTCTAGGTAGGTGGTGGGGGCCAGGGTGCAAAAGGTTGGGGTGAGGGAGTGGGGCAAGGGCAGGTGTGCCGAGCCCAACCCTGACTCTTCCTTGCTCTCATCTGCCCTGGCAGGACCTGTCCCTGGAGCTGAGCCTCTACCCCCACAGCCCACAGAGCCCTCCAGCCCGGGGTCGAGCCTGCCCTCTTCAGCCACAGACCAAAGAGGCAGCGGGCCCAAGCCCTGACCCCCTCCCCTCCTGGCGCATGAGATTATTTTATTAAAAAACCCAATGGAAGCTGTGTGCAGAGAGCACTACTTATCCACCCGGCGCAGGATTGTTGCACGCAGGCCTCACCCCTGTGTTAGTTCCGACTCCTGCGGCGGCTCCTTCAGAAGGTGCAAAGCCCAGGCAAGGAGCTCTGGAGGGAGCCTGGGGACAGAACGGTGGCTGCAGGTGACTGTAGTCTGGAACTAGTGGGCAGCAGAGGGGGACTGCGGTGGGCACTCACCTGACAGCTTGGACCTGGTCACAGAGGGTGGTGCAGGGGGGCCCATACTTATACTGGAAAGTAGAACCATCCCGGTGCCTCTCTGGGGGATCCTTAAATGGGGCATAGTGTCTTAGTAGGGGCCAACAGGAATCCATCACCCCATCCATTGCTACCCCCTAGCCCACCTTCCAGATCCACTCAAGGCCCAACCCTGTCGTCCCTCCTTTTGCCAAGGGCCTGTGCTCACCCCCATAGCGCTGGGGTTTGGGGCCTCTTTAGTGGTGCTGGTCTTTGGCTTCTGGGGGAGCAGCCCCAGCTCCTTGAACTCCAATGGAGATTTCTGAGCCCTGGTTCCTCGAGCCTGGTGTGGCTTAAGGCTCTGGCCACGGGGCATGAATGTAAGAGCGCAGCTCAGGAGTGGCGAGCTGGGTTCCCCCCTGGGGTGGGAGACAGGGGTGGAATGGCTTGCTGGCCAGGTCTGAGCGCTGTCCCTCTGCACTGGCTCTGAAGATGTCAAGGGCTCGGCGGACAGGAGGCTGATGCTGCCACTGCTCTCCTCGGACTGTGAGTGGGCGGGGAGCTCGGAAGGTGTTCCTAGAGAGAAGGGGGCTCGCTGTGGTACTGCCTTCCCAGCTTGGATCAACTAAGTGGGCTGTGAATGAGACCATGTGTGTCCCCCCTCCCCCAGGCTGTGTAGCCCAGGGCCCTGACCACCACCTCACCTGAGGAGCAAGAGGGAGAAGGCAGGGCCAGAGAGAGGTCGTGCAGAGCAGGGTCTGGTGGGGGCAGGTCACGGCCTAGGGGATCAGGGCAGGCTTATCAACACAGGCGGCCAGGACCCAGCTACTCCTCTTGACCTCTCCTGCCCCCCTTCCCATGCCCTCTGACCTAGGCACAGAGAGCTCAGGATCTGCTGGTCCTTGTCGGGGATGTACAACCACAGGCTAGGGACAGTGTACACAGCTTCTCCCTGTGGGCCGGGAACTGTCAGCTTGGCTCTGGCCAGACGCCGCACACCCACAGTCCCAAGGGAAGGCCCAGACGGACCGTGGCCCTGCAGCTTGAGGTGGCCCAGCGGGTGAGTTGGGGTGCCTTTTGAGGGCCTGCCAGCATCAGGCAGCTCTCAGCCAGGCGCACTAGTGCCCCCCGTTGCTCCTGGTCCTCCTGTACCTCATCCAGAAGCTGGGACAGTGTCAGACCTGGGGGAAGGGCCAGGGAATGAGCCAAAGCTCAGGGAGAAGGAGAAGACAGGATAGGCTTATTGGGGTGGTGGTGGTGGTGGGTAGGCTAGAGAGTTAGACCAGGGGAACACAGTCCCTGAAGAAGCCCCGCCGGTACCTGGGTCAGGGGAGGTAGCCTCAGACAGGTGCTTCCTATAAGAGGGAAGCAGATAGGTCTGAGGTGCAATCCTGAGGCCATCTGCCCGGAGGGGAGATCCCATGGTTGGCTCACTCTGGGCCCCGGGCCCACCCCCATACTCACTCAAGGCAGTCATAGAGCTTCTTCTGCACATCCGGGTCCTGATTGCTAAGGGAAAGCAGCAGAGTGGGAGGCACTTGGTGTTACTGGGGGGCTAAAGCAGCAGAGTGGGAGGCACTTGGTGTTACTGGGGGGCTCAGGCCCGTGCTTCCAGAAGGCCCATGCCAGCGCTGACCTGACTTTACAGGGGAGGGGTGGTGGTGGTGGGCCGGTCATCACTTACCAACTGGCCACCTGGGTCCGGGGCTGCTCATTAGGCAGCAGGCTGAAGCGATCCACCTGGAGGTAGAACTCCGCGGGCTGCAGGGGTGAGTTGGGGAGGGGGGGTGCGACTCAGGTGTCGTCAGGCAGGGCAAGCCCCAGTCACCGGGCCAAGCCAGCCTCAGCACTCACCATGCCATGCTCCGTGACCTGGACGCACACCCCGCAGTCTTGCAGCAGCAGCAGCCGGCCCTCCGTCCTGCGGAAGCCGAACTCCTTCTCCCTGGGGCGAGTGCGACTCTCACCGCCTAGCCCCTAGCGGCCCCGGCCCCAGCCCCAGCTAAGTGGACTGTCCCCGTTGTCCCCGCCGCGCTCCCCTCACCAGGCCGAGGTGTTCAGGGCCTCTCGCGTCAGCTGGCATCGAATACTGTGGGTCCCGTCGGACACAAGCAGCGCAGCCCCGACATAAGGCGCATCCGGGGCGCGGGATGGGCCCGGGGCCTCGTCGTCTTCCCGGAGTACCTGGAGACGGCGGTGGTGACCGGCGTCAATCGGAGCGCCCAGGACCTCTGCCCCGGTCCCCGGACCTGGGCGCGTGGGAAGGGCTCACCTCGAGCAGTTGCCCCGCCCGCGGACTAGAAAGTGTCTCTGACCCCAGGACCAGCTCGCGAATCCAGGGCCGCAGAACCAGGTCCCCCACGCCCGCCATCCGGTCGCCGCCGCTAGCACACTCCCGCCAGCTTTTTCCGCGGGCGCCGCAGCCCCGCCCCCCGCCGGAAAAGGAAACGCGTGTTGTATGGGCGGGACCGGGCCTAGGCCCCGCCTACTGGAGTGCCTGCGCGTGCGCACCAGTGCGTCCCGCTCTGGAGCCTCTGCTGTTCGGAGGATTTCTCCTCGACTTCAAAGACTGGTGACACTGAACAGGGAGGGGCCAAAGGTTAACGACAGGCCAAAACGAATTGGTTCGAAGCTCCTTGGGTGCTGTGTGTCCGTCCCCAAGGGGTTCAGTAAATATTCCCTAGGATTCAGTTTCCAGTGGAAATAACAATTCGCTGACCCCCACCCCACACACTATACACCAATTGCTATCAAGTAGTTCCAACTCCTAGCGACCCTCCATAAGGTTTTCAAGGCTGCAAATCTTTACTACACCCGAAAGCCTCATCTTATGTCCCGAAGAACGCCTGGTGGGTTTGAACCGCCAAACTTCCGGTTAAGCAGCTCAAAGTAAGCGCCAGACTACGCGTGGGAAACATCACCCGCCTCGACCTCCCTCTCGGATTGGCGGGGGACACGCTGACCGTAGCGTAATGACGTGAGAGCAGAAGCGGGTTTTTCCCCACCCCCACCCCTGTTACCTAGGAAACTTGGACTCCGCGTTCCACTCCGTCGCTGCCCCGTGACGTCACGGTCCGGATAGGAGGGCGGGGCGAACGCGACCGGGAGGGGCGGGGTGGCGCGGGCCGGCCGGCAGGCTGTGCACCTGCGCCTCGGCGGGCCGCCTGGGGCACCGTCCCCGGCCCGCCCGGCCCCGCCATGGCCAGGCCGCAGAGGACCCCAGCGCGCAGTCCGGACAGCATCGTGGAGGTGAAGAGCAAAGTAAGAGCCCCTCGGCCCGGCTCCGGCCTCGGCCTTAGGCGCCTCCTCCGGTTCCTTCCTCCGCCCTTCCCGGCTCCTTGGTCTCCACCACCTCTTTCTCTCCTCTGCCCCCGGCCCTCTCCCACCCCACCCCTCCCGCATTCGCTGGCTTTTCTGCTCGCCTTTTCTCCCGGAACATCAGTCCTTCCACGCCCAGGCTCCAAAGCCCCTGTGGCTGGGTACCTGGAGGGCGGCACAAGACCTTGGACAGCGTCCGTGTACTGGTGCTGAGGTCTGGGCTGAAGGCAGCGGCTGCTTTATGTTTCCCACCCCCTTGGACGGGGAGGGGGTTGAGAAAGCCGTGCAGGTTGGGAACTGACCCTTCCTCTCGCCCTACCTGCGCCCCCAGTTTGATGCCGAGTTCCGACGCTTTGCACTGCCCCGCGCTTCGGTGAGCGGCTTCCAGGAGTTCTCCCGGTTCCTGCGCGCGGTGCATCAGATCCCCGGCCTGGACGTGCTGCTGGGCTACACTGACGCTCATGGCGACCTGCTGCCCCTCACTAACGACGATAGCCTGCACCGGGCCCTGGCCAGCGGCCCCCCACCGCTGCGCCTGCTGGTGCAGAAGCGGGGTAAGGAGAATGAATAGGGGTGGAGGGGGCCTCAAGTAGCCTGGGTGAGGAAGGGTGGCAGGGCAGATCTCCTGCCCACACAGCGTAGTCCTTGCCTAGGGCACCTAGGCCTCACCCTCTGCAGTCCCTGCCCTTGGCCTGACCTCCAACTGGTAGGAAGTAGTCACAGTGGCCCCTTCCCCAGGCCTGGCCCTGGGGGGGAAAGGGCCTTGGGCACCCAGGAGGGCTTCAGTGGAAGATGAAGGGCTCTGATCCCCGCATCCCATCTCCACAGCAGAAGCTGACTCCGGTGGCCTGGTCTTTGCCTCCAACTCCCTGCAGCGGCGGAAGAAAGGGCTCCTGCTGCGGCCCGTGGCCCCCCTGCGCAGCCGCCCCCCCCTGCTCATCAGCCTGCCCCAAGATTTCCGGCAGGTTTCCTCTGTCATCGACGTGGACCTCCTGCCCGAGACACACCGGAGGGTACGGCTTCACAAACATGGTTCGGACCGCCCTCTTGGCTTCTACATCCGAGATGGCACGAGTGTGCGCGTGGCTCCCCAGGGTCTGGAGCGGGTCCCGGGCATCTTCATCTCCCGCCTGGTACGCGGGGGTCTTGCTGAGCGAACAGGGCTGCTGGCGGTCAGTGACGAGATCCTGGAGGTCAATGGCATTGAAGTGGCCGGCAAGACCTTGGACCAGGTGACGGACATGATGGTCGCCAACAGCCACAACCTCATCGTCACGGTCAAGCCTGCCAACCAGCGCAACAACGTGGTACGGGGGGCATCTGGGCGTCTGACGGGGCCTCCCTCTGTCCGGCCTGGGCCTCCTGAGCCCGACAGCGATGAGGACAATGGCGACCTGGTCATTGAGAACCGCCAGCCTCCCTGTTCCAATGGGCTGTCCCAGGGACCCCCGTGCTGGAGCCTGCGCCCTGGCCGGTTGCCCCCGGGTGCTCGAAGCTCTCTGCCCTCCCTGGATGATCAGGGGCAGGCCAGCTCTGGCTGGGGAGGTGGCATTCGAGGAGATGGCAGTGGCTTCAGCCTCTGACAGGAAGAGAATTTGCCCCTCGCCACGCCATGCTGCTGGGGCAGTGGGGAAACTGCCCGGGTGGGGACTTTGAGCTTGCTCACAGGACCCTCTCAGCCTGGAGAACATTAAAGGTTTTCTACAAATGCAGTTCCCGTCCTTCTGTGTCCCAGGCCTTAGCTCTGACCCCACGGTGCACCTTATGCACTCGACCTGTAGCCGCAGTAGCAAGGAGGCCATTCTGGAGTGGTATAGGCGGCCCAGGGCAGTTCCAGGGCAAGAGAAGTTCGGAAGGAAGCAGACTCGGCTGTGTACAAAACGTTTAATTGTGAGGAAGCATGAAGTGCTGGGCTGGCCCTCCCAGCCAGGCTGGGGGAGTGTTTGCTACAAGGTGCTGCCCACCTACTGCTCCACCCTCAGACCTCCACACTGGAACTGGTCTGCCCTGCCCTGCCCTTTGCAGGCCTGTGGTGATCCTCGCCCGTGGGCCAGGCTCAGGCATCCATCTTCACGAAGACCTTGGGGCGGGAGAAGATCTTGATGGCTTCCTCTACTTGTACCAGCTTCCGGTCCAGCTCAGCGCGGTGGCCCTGAGCCTTCAGGGAGTCTGCCCCGGCGGGCAGCCGCACTAACTCACGAAGCATCTGGCTCTGGCCTACAGGGTTCCCAGAGGCAGGATAGGCAGGGGTGCATATCCCCAGTGGGTCCCCACCCAGCCCCCTTGCTGCCCAGTACTCACTCTGGAGCAGGGAGCTCAGCGTCTCCAGCCGCTGCTTCTCGGGCATGCGGGTGTGGCCAGGGGGCAGAGCTGGGTCTGGCTGGCTGTGTTGGCGGGCCTCAGCCTCCCGCCTCCACTCATCCTTGCGCTCCAACAGGCTGCGGAAGGTCTGGACTTAGGGATGATGGTCCCCAGGGCCCAGGATGTCCCCCACCCTCCATAGGCACCCCTCACCCTGGGGTGTGGGACCTACTAATGGGGCACGTGGCCTTTCTGCGTGGTATTGTAGTGTTCTTGGGCTTGCCGTTGCTGCTCCAGCACCTGTGTCAGGACCTGCAGAGAGCGGGAATGCCTCCGGGGGGCCCTCTTTGCAGCTTGGGCATTGTGGCTGATGAAATCCACATCTAGGCCTGGACCCTGCGGGACCTGGTGAGCACAGTGGAGCAGGGAGCACTATATGTGTGCCTCTGAGTCCCCTGGGTCCCTACCCAACATTCTCCCAGCTCCCACGCAGCCTCTCACCTTAGCACCGGGGTCTGGTGGGGTGAGCTGGAGACCAGGGGCACGGGGTGGCGGGTGGCCAGGGCCACAGCGGGAATGCGCCCTCAGGAAGGGGGCAGCCTCTGTCCCAGAAGCAGGGCCAGGATCCTGAAGGGCAGGGCACCGTAGGGGGGATCAGGCTCTCAAGCCACAGGACCATGCCTGTCTTCTGGCCTCGCTCCACAACCCCTGTGGGCCTGCCACCTTGAGAACAGGAACGCTTCTCACCAGCCTGCAAGCACGTCTCTCATCTCTCAGAAAACAACACACCACCCTCCTCCTGCCTTGGTCCTGGCCCCAGCTGCCACCTTCTCCCAACTTCCCTGCCCTCGCTTCCTGCCTCTGGCCCCTGGAGGTCACCAACAACTGGCCTCCAAAACCCTCAAATCCAGGAACCACTTCTGGGTCCCTCAATTGGAAATCCTCAGAAACTTCCAGGTCTCCTTCCTGAGATTCAGGCCAGAATATCCCATCTGCTTTCTGGACACACCCCTGTCCCCAGCAGCCCCAGAGTATTGCCTGAGCACCGCCACCCAAGACCTTGACTCAACCCTCCTTGTCTGCCCCAACCAGACCCCCCCGCATCTATAGCCTGTCCTCACTGCCATCAAAAATAAAAGTGGGAAGTGGCAGGTGTGGCCCTTGATATTGGGGGTCCAGCTGGCTTTTTAGCCTAAGCCATGCTCATCTCCCCCCACCATGACACCCTAGGATCCCCACCACCCACACTGCTGCCTGGCCTGTTAGAGGGCATCTACCCGTTGTCCCGGCCACCACCATCACCACTTCTGAGAAGGCCCCAGAAGGTCCAGGGGCCTCCGAGTGCTTGGTGATTTTTTTTTTTTTTTCATCCCTCCCCATGACCTTAATGGGGTATAATTTGCTGGTTGAACAAGATGAGCAATGTGACTCACTCCCCAAGGTAGATACCTGCAGCTGGGCCTTGACCCGGGACTCCACCTTGTCATACTTGGGTGAACGCCACAGAGCCTTCAGGGGCCTGGGCTGGCCCTGCTCTCGGCTGCGCTCCTGCTCCCGGAAGCGCCTCTGTATCTCCTTGATGCGCCTCAAGTTCTCCTTCTCATGGTCTTTTGGGTCCTTCCCTGGGGAAGAGACGCTGCCAGGCCCTGTCTTGGGTGCTACCCACTCGGCCCACCTCTCAGCTGCCCACACCCAGCCTCCTTCGGCAAGGGCTCCCTGCCCTCGTCATTAAGTTTCATCCACCACGCGCTTCCTCCCTCACACGATAATCATCTGTGCACGATTACATGTGGCATTTTTACTGTTAAGGATCCCATTAATCATCTTGTTTGTTTCATCATTCCCTTGTTTGTCGCCTCCCCTGATGACCCACGCTGGTCTTCATCCTGCGCTCCTAGCGATAAGGCCTGGTGCATTCTGGGCGCTCCATAACCCACGTGGCTCTGATGCACGATGCGCGGAGGTGAGGCGTACGGCAGAGGCTTGCGGGGGACATTTCCTTCAGTGCTCCCCGAGAGGAGGCAGTGCCCTCAGTTGGGGAAACTGATTCTGGGCGCGGGGTTGGAGAGGGGAGCTGCGGGTTTTGAGTTCCACTTCCGACCTGGCCCCCACCAGCCCTCGGCCCCTGCTTCCCAGGACTTACTCTTCGGGCAGGCCCGCGGGGTCAGGGAGATGGCCCCGAGCTGCAGCAGCACGGCGGCCCCCACGCCGCGCCGGCCACGTTCCAGGATCTCTCGGGCTCCGGGGCCGATGCGGGGCCCGCGGGGCGGGGCG